AGTCATTTTTAGAAAATCCACTTACTGACGGTTATCCGCAACGCCGATTCCGAAAATCCACATTAGAAGGCGCGAACATGCATTTTCCAAACCATTACAATTTAAAATTCGACGGCACCGCCAAGGCTGAGACGCAGAGTCACTGCGGAACCCTACGATTTTGACAGTGGCTGCATGCGTACTTTCCCGCTCAGTAGAAGTTTAAACAGGTCGGGGGACCACGCCCCAAAGCCTAACAAGGGAATGGTCAGAAGTCGAAGTGGCCAATCCATACAAGCTGCATACTATTCGATGCAGCTTAAAATGCTTATTTCAAATCTGTCTTCCATATCTGCAGAGCGCCTTTGCAAGCGAAGTTATGACCTGCTTTAGTGCGAAAAAAACGCACACAAAAATTGCCAGATTAGGCACATTATTGCACTTTTTGCTCAGTTTTAGGTACTGGCCATATGGAGTGACCTAGCTGCATGTTTTGGTCTAGCACTGAGCCGGGTATGGCTCTGTACGGCCGAGTTTGCCCTCCACACACACAATTTCTTAGCGAAATTATGGCTTCCAACGGCTTATAATTTCGTCCACAAAAGCGCTCTGAAGATAAGGAAGACAGATTTAGACTCAGCGTTTTATGCTGCATCTAATGCTATGCAGCTTGTATGGATTGGCCACTTCGATTTCTGACCATTCCCTTGTAAGTTTCCCCATTTTCCGGCCATTTTTCTTGCTTTAGGTCGAACGTTTGAAATTGCACTTGCGTACTGTGTTTGAGGGGGCCACTTTCGCATCGCATTAAAATCCCACCCCACCTTGCCCGGACACTGCCTTTAACGGCGGGCGTTTTCATAAAACACAGACAAATAGACCGGAACCTTGCGGGGATTGAGTTTTATCTATTATAGATTTGTCGTTAAGATTCGAAGATTTGAACGAGGCGAAAAATGAGCCTGAGAATGAAACTTCTAGAATTGTCCGGGAACTTTCTTTGCAACGTAATAAACCATTTGAAAGACTGAAAAGTCTCTTCATGAGCTTCAGGCTGGTAAGCGGCCGGTCAAGCAAGGTGATTCAAGTCGGTGAGTTGCTGTGAGGGGTCTATGAAGGGAACGTGATTTTGTAAACTCTGTGAGGTAGTAAAGGCAAATGTACGGAGAATGCAATTAACGATACAATAAAATAAGAAAATGCACATCAACAGTAAGGAGAAAACTAATCAAGTACCACTATGTTCGATGAGTTGCGCTGACTACTTATATAAGCCGTGGTTATAAATAAAACACATCCAAGTATGAGAAATCCAATGATAAGCCATCAAACAACTTTACCTGTGAGAAAAGGCAGAGGCTTGATCGCTGTGAATCACCTTACATTCCTCGAGCACAAAGTTTGATACGAACACGAGAAGTTCGTACAATCCTTATCTTCGTAGTAAAATATAGCTCATCAAGTTTTTTTCCTCCGACAATAAAAAATGGAATCTTCTCAGGAAAATAATTCGAAAAACCATTTGAGGATTACGTCATTATTTTGGAGAAATCAAACCCCTTACTCAATGTGCTTTTCTTTCCATGAGAGATAACGACATAACTCAAAAATGACTAGATCGTACACACGGCAAGCTCCCCATCGGGAACTGGTAGTATTTTGTAAAACAAAGTACGTAGTAAACAAAGTAGTAGTTTATAGAGCGTTCACCTGGAAAACCGGTGTACTGGAATTAAGCTCGATATCAACCCACATGTCTTTCCGCAACATGACGTGGATTGGTGAGGCGCCGCCTCGTTTCGGGCTTGCGCCACGTTGCGGGTGCATCGTCTGGCGTGACATGCGCTCAAAACGTGCCTAGTCTTTCTCATGTAACATGCCGCTTAAAACAACGTGGCCTGTCTTTCTCATGTGTTTTTGTTGCCACACCATGCCAAAGAGGCGCACGCAACGTGGCGCAAGTCTGAAGCGAGGTGGTGCCTTACTACCACGTAATCAACCTCATGTTGAGGGAAGACTTATGGGTTGATATCGAGGGTAAGCTAGATTTGGTATTAAGGCAAATAGCAAGGAGGATGTCGTATAACACGCTAGACATAAATATTCACCTCCGGTCATGCTCGCTTACTTCACCAATAGAATGGTGCATGACTGCCATGCTCCGCAACGTGTTCTTTCTCACAAGCACGCCAGATCCAAGATAATGCTCAAATGAACAGATGGCTCATTTACAGCGCACAGTTATTCAATTAACAGCAAATCTGTATTATATGTATGCAACATTACTCCCAATAATGTGTAAAAAAATTTTGGAAACTTATTTGTGGTACTTGATTCGAATTTGATGGTTTACCATTCCAAATCAACACTGGTTCGAAGCATAAATTTTGGGGGGTTCACATAAGTTTTGCACCTTTTAGCTCAAACAAATAGAACGTTCGCAAATCTATTGAATGAAGAAAGCAATTCAAGTCGATACCCTCTTATTTCAGGCCATAAATAGCTTCAAATGAACCAGGATTTCAGCGATGCTCACGTCTCGCTCTTTTTAGTGAAAGGAATCGAAATAGCTGCATTTTCTTATCTTGTAAGCTCACTTGCACATCAGGACCTATAGGCCCAAAGTAGTTCTTATAATCAACTAGTTGACTTACCCGGCTCCGCCCGGCCCTGTCATTATTATATTCGTAATCAGCATGCTCGATTGCCCCCTGTGCCAACTCCCAGCCCCGTAGCTCAAATTTTGCAAAAAAATCGATAAAATCGATATCGATCGATGACAAAAAGTGGCCTGTGACACCCGCCGGGGCCCGATGTGCATGTGTGCCAAGCAGGGTCAAGCGTGTGATGCGACTGTCGCAACGGGGGGTCGTAAAGGGGGCCAACGGTGGGGGGGGGGGTCGTAAAAGGGGGTAGTTTAGATAAAAAAAACCGTACGCTTGAAAGCAAATCAAATAGTAATAATTATTATTTGATTATTATATGTTAGTAATCAAATATAAATAGCATTTAATAATTATTAATCAAATAGTAGTAATAACATGTAATAATTATTTTAAATAATTAATACATGTTCGTTACAATGATTCTAATGCTGAGTACCAATATATCAAATGAGAACGACTGAGCAACATGCAATGTAAAACAATTGCCTATGTAAAAACTCGCTTTATTTGCTGCATTTTTAAGAGAGAATGACATGACTTGTTTTTTATAATAGTTAGGTTTTGAACTCCTCTCGTCTGCAGTCATAGAGCGCAGTAAGGCCGCTTCAAGAGATTGGCTACAACAAAGTGTTTGTTTCCAATGATGTTTTCATGAAAGTTCGAGAAAATTGTCGTTGAGTTATCACGATGGACTTGTTTTGGCAACTGAGCCGATAGAAAAAATTGCTAGTTTCGCTTCCTCTCCGTTCTGAAGTCGTGTGCTGATTTTCTTGACGGCATGGCGAGTTCTCAGCCCGTGCATAGTCATGTAGTGTTCAGTATGTTTAGCAATCAAACCTTTGACGTCCCCTTAAATCTCAAACATATGTAGCCGTAGGTAAATTGGAAGAAAACCATCAGCCTGTCTGTATCGTTCAATGCAAAAAACAATGTGAGAACCGCAAACACTAGTATGTGTGCTAGAGATGCTGTGCGCACCCATTGGCCCAGAACTTCTGCTTCCGGAACCTCACCGAAGTCTCACACACTCGACAAAAGCGCACATCTAGATCAACGATGACAATCAATAATTCGAAAATCTTTTTGTGATGCCAATTATATGGGCCTTACAATTTATATGTACTTTAGATAAGCCCTGCTATTACTGTGCGAAATTTGGTGTTATTCTGTAAACTGTGGATTTTCTTATGATTTTATGTATGGTAGCAAAAATTTAGGAAAGGGGGGTCGTATCTGGGTCGCATCTAAATTTCTTCGGAGCTATTGAAACTTGTTGGCTGCAATTTTGCTGTAATATGGGGCCATCCTCCTACTTTCCCTCATAAAAATTTCAGGCTGTTTCATAACTTCTCTGGTAAGTTACAAAATTCCAAGCTCAAAAATCCCAGTTTTTGCTTTTTGGATCGCATCTAAATTTGCGAGAGTCGCATCTAAATTTTTTCGAGCTCACTGCTCCTCAAGGGCTGGTACTTTTTCTATGAGTGGTCTGGGCACTATGCTACAGAACCTGTTCTTTGCAGCCTCTCATTCTTTTCCTGGCCTTAGTTACGAATTTTCAAATTACCATGCTCATGCACGTTTTTGACGTCGTTCTGGACGGCGCTAAAGCGGTTTTTTTCGCAGAAAAAACTTTGGAAGAGGTAAGAACTGAGCTTCTTAGTCGAAAACATCTTTTGTAATTCAAGAATGTCATTTTGTTCTCCGTGTAAAAATTTGTGTCGCATACGATATTCGAATTTGCTGGCCTGAAGTATGCCTAAAATTTCAAAAGAACTTGCAGAATCTCAAACATTATTGAAGGTGTGTATGTGTGCAATAGATGCTGGGCGCACCCATTGGCCTAAAAATTCTGCTTCCGAAACCTCACTGAAGTTCTCAAGCAGGTGTTTTTTGAGATTGACACTCGTTTATGCAGGTTACCGCAAGAAATGTGGCCAGGGGAGGTAAGGAGAAGGGGGGGGGGGGGTCGCACGGATGGGTACCTTCAAGGGGGGGGGGGTCGTAAATGAGGGTCCAGGATCGCATCAACACGCTTGACCCTGGTGCCAAGTTTGGTCCAGTTCGGTTCAAAAATGAAATTTTCTATTCGGAACATACGTACACACAGACATACATACATACAGAGACAGACAAACAAACATTCAGCTTTATATATAAGATGATTTATTTTCAGCCTTTTTGCTGCCATATGAATGATTTTTTTACAAAAGTTTTTAAGTGATCAAAAAGAGGTAGTGATGGCCGAGGCGTGAACTATTATGTAGCTTAGGTAGCGTAACATCTCACCTTGGTCAGCCATCTAAAATAAGCACTGAGTTGGAATCTGGCTCTACCCATTGTGACTCAGTTCAGTACTCACTCAATCGAAAAATTATAGTAGGGATGAAGGTCACCGATCCATGAAGCCTTGAAACAGGTTGCAAGCGCTCTAACGTTCTTACCTACCAATGGATAATCAGTTTGCTCATTCATCTGAAGAAAAAGATTTGTTTGGGTAAGACCTGAAAAATTACTTACCACCATGTTTGATTTGGTGTATCCGGCAGGAGTGTTGCATATAATATATATGCGTCGACATCCGCGGCTATCATTGACTAGCACCCTAATGACTTCAAATCTTTCAATATAATGTTTATATGTATTCTACAAAGAATATCGTCTTTGATGGCTCTTGGTCTCGAGCATATGTACAGACTCTTCACATTTTACACTTAATAACTACATTGAAGTGATACAAAAATTGCTCACTTGATCACTGGGGTTATCGATCCTGGTGTTCCATCAGCAGGGACAAGGGTCACGGAACGAGGAAGGCATACTCCACATACTAAAAGTAAATTGGATGACTGAAAAAGCATTAAGTTTGTTTGGCTTGGACTCTTTTGGGAAGCAATATTCGGAGGCAGTGTCTGAGCAGAATCTTAATTTGAGCATTTTTTGGCTTTTCTAGCGTCGATTCGAAAGCGCAGGTTGTAGAGCGTGAAAACTATGGAATAAATCCCTCAAAACCTTGAATGGCTTGGTTGGAGGTCTTGCCATTGCGATACTAGAAAGTCTCAGCACTCCTGCTTTGTTGGAAGGCTGCCCATTGTCGGGCAAGATAAGGGCGTGTGGGAAGCCAGCTCACGTGAAAATAGAGCCAAAATGCCATAGTCCAGCCAGGGCCGGAATTTCCTCGGACAGACCCCCGCACAAGTGCTAAGTCATAGGTTTAGGCCATAAGCCAGAGATCTATTTCGGAAGGTCGTAGATTTACGCCCAAAGGGGAAAGCCTCGCCTAACTGCGGACTTCAAAGTGCAAGCTAACCGTTACAGACAAGAGGTCCTACAGAGACTTGCGTTTCAGCATTAGCGATAAATGGTCTACTCGTCCAAATTTAGATGGTGTTCTTGTTTTTTGTGCTCTTGAATGATTTCTGGATTTAGGGCAGCAGGAAAGACCAGGTATAGGCCGTCCGTGGAGAGGCGTGGAGAGTGCGCAAGGTGCTTATTGCACTTCACACCTCTTTCCTCGTGCACTTTTTGTACTTTTGCACTGTTGAACTGCCTCTAATGGACGCAACAGCGTTGCTCTCCGCGCGCAGCGCACGGTCTATAAGAGAATACCTAGAAATTGCGTTTTTGCCCAAACTCTGCTCCAAGTGATTTGCTCTTCGTAGTGGCTACCTCAACTACTCAAATGAGCATGCAATTGATAGATTCCGTGGTAATTCCAGTCTTATCACTAAAGAGTGGTTGCAGCTGCCACGACAGTAGTGACGATTATTTTAGCTATACAGCATCTAAATTGCATGCATTCAATTTTGCAAAGCAAATGCGTATATCACGGGAATTTCTCTTAAGCGAGTCAGAAAGCGGTGAAAACTGAGTCATACTGAACGATGAATGTTAGAAAGAAAAATCTTGCCAAATGATCTCTGATGCAGCATGTATGATCACTGAAAACGATGACTGGCTGGAATGTTTTTGTAAGCTGTATAATCCATTTATAATCTTGAAAAGCTGTACTACTTGCTATGACCTCATTTTGCAAAAGATGTCGTTCGAACAATCAACGTACGTGGTGGATTTTTCGTTGTTGGTTTTTTTGTCGTTGCGGCCTAAAGTATCTCAACTGCTCACTGAATATGAAAAACTCCAAAATAATTGGCCTTACCTGAGTAGACGAAAGCAGAGCGGCGATGACGATTGCCAGTAAAAGCATTGCCTCTGAACCTCAATAATCAAATCGGCATAGAAAATTTATCATGCTTTGGAAAGTGACCGAAGAAGTTTTTATTTTGAGGATGAAAACGGATTTGAGCATAAATCAGAATTATTATTATTTTTAGGGAAATCAGATGAAAATGAAACGAAACAGTAACTATAAAATTCGGTCAAATATTCTATCAGTAAACTCAAAGATCATAGCTTTACATATATGCGGAATTATGCGCTGCTGTTATAACTATGCACGAACAAAAATATAAACAAAAGTTGGAAACTGAGTCGAAATTTGCCTAAACCTGTACCCATGGCAATTTTTACGTGAAAATTCGTTCTTAAGTTGGTTATATTGGTCCTATGCAAATGACAGGAGTCGTATGCACACATTCAAGTCGTAAATTTCTTAGCTTTATTGCAAAGAATACGATTTGAATGGGGGGACGAGGGGGGGGGGAGGAGTGGAGAAGAGTAACAAAATTTTCAGAAGAGAAGGAAGTGGCACTAGTTACGCTCTCTGAATAAAGTTCTTGAGAAGCACGCTGCAAGGTGCCAGATGCGTCTTGACTTCGCGCTTCAGCAAGTTTATATTCTACGTCAGTCCTGAGGTTTGAAAGGTTAGCGTATGCTCAACATGAACTTTGAAAGCGAACTCCACTACAGTCACCCTTCTCCCTTTGTCAGGTGCTGTTTCTTTCGATTGATTTTGCTACTTGATTGACAACCTTTCCACTGGAAGAAAACGTGAGCTACACTTGATATTACATATTTCTTTATGCATAGGTTTATTGAAACAATGTTAAATAGCCACTTCTTAGCAGGAAAGCACCCTAGGTCACTCTGAGATATATTTAAAGATGCACATCTTGGAACTTTGATCACAAATCTTAGTCGCTATCTGCGAAGTAATTTTTTAGACAATTCGATTGACAGTCTTCAATCAAATTATATGGTGCTACGTAACAAAAATTTTCAGTGGTAGCCAAATTACTTTCTTTAAGCTACCAAGCATCAGCGATCAAACGGACTAGCCTTGTGAATTCAATAGACAAAAAAGCATGGACCTTAAATGTGTATTCTGACCCCGTAACAACGCAATTTCTTTACAGGGAAACGTTCATTTTTTAAATATCGTTTTGCAGATAGTGACATCGAAATCAGAGTTTCAAAAGCTCTCACATTTATCTATTATACATCTCATGTGCAAAGAACACGGTGACCTATAGTACTCCTGTGGGTCGAGGAGCTGGCAGGTGTAAATGTTGTAGTTTTCCTCGTATGTGGTTTCGGGACAAGAGGAGTGTAGTCGTTTAGTGGCGGCGGGATACGAATGGCCAGTAGTAGTATGGATGTCAAGGATGAACGTTACCAGAAGAGAGCGCTTATATAGCCCTCCGGACGAAGACATCAACAACCATACCTTCGATACATAGAGCCACATACTCTGGTAATCTTCACTTCAAGGGTTATGAGGGGAGACAACCTTCACCTGGATTATGAGGGGACACAACCCTTACCTGGAAAAAAACAGAAGTCATCCGGGGCTTCGCCCCGGATGTCGTTATCTCAACTATATCGGAGTGAATGTTAATGAAGCAAATATAGGAAACAGTTTCCCCAAGTTATCTCAGCAAACCGAGAATTTGCGTTTTCATAGCCTTTTTTACGTTAAAAAGAAGGTTTGTGTGAAATTTTCGTCAGAATTCAGGACAACATTTCTCAGTTAACCAATTATTTGACCAAAATCGAGTTTCAGAAGTTTAGGAAAGCTGTTGGAGTTGAATAAAAACGAGAAACTGCGCTTAAATCTTGCGCAAGTCGCGCACTAAAACGCTGGTCTATCTCGGTTTCGTTGAGACCCCGAGGAGATCTACGACCACAGTTAAATGCCCCGTCGGCTCTGGTCTGGTTCCGCTGCTCGTCTGCGTCTCCGCGCGCTGCGCGCTACCTCGCTACTCCAAACGCGGGGCGCGGGGCATTTGGCTCCGGTACCCTTTTCTTTGCTGTTTCGAACCAATTTTAGCAAGCTACATATAATTTTGAAGCTTTTGATCTCGTTTTCACGCTGACAAAGTCCCAAAATCACGTTTTTTGATTTGAACGAGAAATCCAGCAAAAACCTTGTTTTCGAAAATCTCTTGTTTTTCTTCCACTTCAACTCTTTTCACGCGGTTTTTTCGGGCAATCTATAGATCTTGCTTCTGTTCATGCAGACAACTACCCAGCCCTTATCTCTTCGATTATGGTGGAATTTTTTTTTGCAAAAAATCAAGTGCGGTGTTCTCTAACTTGTTCTGTTTTAGTGTTTTCGCAGCGATTTTTTCCAGCTTGGACGATTGTTGCTCAGAACAATAAGCGCAACAATCCAGACAACGTCCTAGAAATAGGAACGTCATTGCGGAGGTAAAAGTTTAAAGGACGCATCAAAAACTAAATTGGCCTTGATGTGCATCTCGACTTAGAAAAAAGAAACTTTGCGTATTTATTACCAAACTCTTCCTTGTTTATCTTCTTCTTGATAACCACTACTTCCAAACATGGCTTTTTTTTGAACAATTACAAAAAAGAAATCAGCTTTTCCTCGTTTTCCCCCCGTGTTGCGAATTCCTGGTCCTGAAGCTTGAAAAGCCGCCAAATGAAAGACTTCAAAATTCATTGCAGCGTTTCTATCCGGTTTTCAGCAGTTTCTTTTGCCTTTTGTATCTGTTTTGCGTCTTTTCTTCTATTCTGATCTTTATAGACAATCTTCACTTTTTGTGAGGGCAGATGTTCAAAGAACCTTCACTTTTGACGCCCTGCCTCTAGACTATCGAAGGTATGTCAACAACACGGAGACGTTTACAATAGAGGTTTATTTACTAACAGTCATACAAAGCGGCTAGAACTCAATGGTAAAGTTACTCTACAATTGTAAAATTACTACATTGAAGCAATGATAAAATTTATCAAAGCCAAACTTGGCAGCCGTTTGAGAAGATCTTAATTATTGACCACTTTAGTACAGTCTATCCCAATCGGGATCAAATCAAACCGTTTGATCCGCAAAGCCCTAGCTCCGGCCAAGCCAATTTTGGCCTGAGTGAGATGGGGCAGACTGTAGGGTTGAGCCAGACTGCGCTGGTACGCGGCGTACGCGACGTATGCAGCGTTCGCCGTGTACGCCGCGCAGTCTGGCCCAACCCGTACCTGCGTCTGCTTGTAATTTAATGCTGCTCTAAATTAACATTAACGACATTGAAGGTGGAATGCTTTGTGCAAGGATTATACCATGGATTTGGCGTTGTGGTACCATGTAAATATTAAGAATCACATTACACAAAAAAGGTGAACTTTTTGATACTTTCCGACAGATTGTACCTAAGTAAAATTGAGCATTTCACTAGCTTTGGAGTTTCTGGCGACAAGGCATTCGACATGAGTTACTCTTCTTTTGTTGACAAAGGTAAGAAATAGTTGAGCGTTCCGATCGGCGGCCACATAAATTGTTTTGCAGTTGTGTATAATGTGAATCCGTATGTTTTCTGCTCATAGGACAAAGAGGCATTGACCACTCATTATTGTCTCCGAATCTCTGGAATGCGGAGCTTAGGCTTAAAAAGACAGAATCACCTTTCATGCTTTCAGACTTTCTGTTCATTTTACCTGGCCATAGCACTATCTAACGAGAATGGTCAAGAACTGCAGTGAATGTGCTGTACTGATCGTTTATGCTGATTTCAAATATACCTTAAAATTTTGCAATACATATGGCTAGAAACGCAATCTTTGCATGCGCATTCGTTGCGCGGTTGTGTTCTGTAATATAATGTTTTGAAATTAATTCATAGTGAGCAGACAAGCCAAGCAGGCTACTAACGTAAGAAACAGATTTTACAGTTACTTTGACTTCTCTCAAAACCACTAAGTCACAGTTGTGACAGTAGAGTGATCCCAATATGGCCATCTCGGGAAATGTTCTCTGTTGAATATTTAGTTCATACAATTTTCAAATGAGCATAATCATTATGATATGTGTGATTTCTTCTTTTCTTGATATTCTTTGCGTTCTTTTCGAAATACTGACTAGGTTAGCTAGAATTTGAAAAGTAAGGTTGATGAGTTCATCCAAAAATACAAGATTGCGCAAATCAGAGGTTGATGTGAATAGCCGCAGGTTGATTGAAAGCAAGGAAAGATTTAGCGCAAACGTCAATCACACAGCATCGTTGCTGGTCAAGTTCTAAGCTGCAAATGCAGTCACTTTTTGTAAATCTGAAAAATCTGCTCTAGAAATCCTATTGCTGTGGGCGAGAAGTCATTTGTCGCGATGCAGATATGACGATATTATATTTCCCGAAAATTTTGTCGGTTTCTTCAAATGACTATAAAACCACAACAAAGATGTGAGTGAGTTTCAACATGCATTCTGTGCAGCTTTTCCCTCTCTTTTTTATGATTACATTTTGAGCCATAATCTTGCATGCTTTTTTTATTACCAAAATTCTTCACCGGCCATTTCCATCTCTTCAAAGCTAGGTTAATTTTCAAAAACTTCATTCCAAATTTTCGGAAAGCTTCAACCACAAAGGCAAATAGAGGAAACCTCGGACTATACGGCAATGTTTTTAGATTCTCCAAATCTGCTATTTTTAGCCTCACAAAAACTAACTTTTCGGAGGTCTCGATTTTCGCCAAAGTCATGAAACACGCAGCCGCAGCAAAAACATGAAAGCTTTCGAATTTTCTCTGAATCGAAACTTGATTGTTACTAACCTTATTTGTGCAACATAACCAAGTTTGATTTGCTTTGAAAGAATCAACATTTGGAATTTTCGGTACTCTTAAGTTGTAAACGTGACCAAAAAATGGGGTTTTCTTGAATATAATTGTTACGCACTCGACAAACGTGGCCCATGTAATCTAAAACGGGTGTGATGTAGCCAAGGGTTGTTCTATATCAGATCAAAAAATTTCAAAATTCAGAGAATATTTGGCGTTACTGTTAAAGGCACCGTCCACCCAAAATCTCGAATTCGATGTTTTTGTCGACTTCAGGCCTTCTGAAAGCCCTGATTCCGAATATGGGGTCGAAGATCCGCGAACCCCCAAAAATCCCTGTTTCGGAACCCTCTGCAACAAGCGCAGGCGAGATAAAGCATGCGATGACAACGCAAAGACAGCGTAGATCGGAAAGCAAACATAGCTATAGTGAAGAGGATAAAACTCTAAATCACACGATACCTAGGTCGTCCGTGCATTAATGTTCTGTGAGTTTCAGTAATCGATGAAAAAACCGACAAAACTTTTGGGACAAACTAACATTATACATATGATGCTGAAAATATTGATATATACGATATATATGATGTATTATATACATATGCTGATATATATTATAATATGATGTAAGCTTCGTGCTGCGTAGCGCAAGAGAACCCAAATTTCCTTCATTGAATCGAAGCTTATTGCGCATCAAAAATGTCTGATATTAAGAACTGACTGGCTATTTTTACTATTATAAGAATTTTAACTAAGTATTGCTTCACCAAAATTCATCTGATGATGAGCGTGGATTATCTTGTTTCCTGATCGCTTAGTTCTCATGTCAGAACCTTGCAAATGCTTCAAGTTGTTCGCTATTCTTAGGCTTTCGGTGTAACGTCTAAAAATTTGTTGGAAGCCCCTTTCAAGAGAGAATAGGGAGCTCAAAAGCATCAGTAATTGTCATAACATCCTCAATGCCCAAATTGCGTCCAACGTTTAGATATCAGTTGTTGGCACTAGGCAATCTGTCAACAATCACTCTAAAATCATTAATGCTGCCAGCGATTGAGTTATAACCCACGCATGTCTACGTTTGTTCTTGCAAATACTTGGTAGAACAAAAGTGAATGGAACTAATTACATATGCAATGATATTACAATTCATTATTGCCGTAGGAGGACAAGATAAGAAATAGCTAATAATGCAGATTTTTCTGTAGCGAAAACTAACTACTTGACAGTTAAAAGGACTTGTCTTTTCCCACATTTCAATGCTAGCCTCAATGCCACAACTTTATGGCACATCATCGTACCTTTGTGTCGAAACTTGGCAAAAAGATGAAATAGGTAATACACAACCTGAACTTTACAGTATCTTCATATTTCGAGGCAGGTAAGTTTGTTATCATGACATACTATCTTAAACTTCCCTTCTTTTCGCGATAACTTCTGAACATTTTAACGCACAGCCTTCTCGACTCTTCTCATTTTTTGTCGAATCTGCGCGCGATTTTTCATAAGCATAGCAAGCCCTCATATTGACTCTGCATATCCGAGAAACAAATCGCTCCTTTTTTGCTCATTCTTCACTCATTCACATCTCGTGTCATTTAGCATCATGGACTCTTCAAGATAAATGACATCAGGCAACAAATGGATGATGTT